GGCCTCGCGGCTTCGCGAAAGCGGCCAAGCCGAAGAGCCTCCGGGATATCAAGGCCGCCGACGAGGCCGCCCCCATTTTCCAGTACGTGGGAGACCGAGCCAAGAGGAAGGACCGGGTCTTCGTGTGCGGCTTCACCTACTCGGGGGCTCTGGGCATCCCTTCCTTCGTCGTCCCGGATGCAGGGAAGAGGCGAAGGCGGATCCAGCCCACGCCCTACCGCCTGGAGGTGGAGGAGAAGGTGAGGGAGGAGGGAAGGCATTCTGGGAGTCCTGTCAGGAATGAGGAGCCCGGCGGGGGGGCAGCGCCTGCTTGACTTCAGTCGCGACTAAAACCCCAGGCGAGGTCAGACCTGGTGAGGGTTGGGATGGGTGACCACTAGGAAATCCCAGGAAGGCTGGTGTCAGCCCTTCGAAGTAGTCCAGACAGGAACCCAAAACCATGTGTACTAATACTAGCTTTATTGTAAGGTTACAGCAACAGCATCTTGCACATCTGAAAGCCCTTCTCTCCTCCTTCTTTTACTCTCCAGAGAACTAGGCAGGGTTCCTTCTGAGATACTTCCCACATCTCTTTTTCTTCTGTGGTCTGAGATACCTTTGGCACGATGGTTGCCTAGGCTAAGGCTCTCCCTCCTGTCTCCCAAGGTCATTCCCACATAGCATTACATCTGGCTAGACTGGGACATCAAAAAGGAGATCCTAGAGGAAGGCAAAAACAAGCCGCTTCTGTACTACTGTGTCCATGAAATCACCCAGAATCAAGCTCTAAAAATGGAGATATCAGAGGGTGTTGCTGTTGTAGTGGCCACCTAGGCGGTAAAGGATATTTCAGTACTGCACTTGTGAAGCTTTCTTCACAAAAGAAAGAAGATCCCTTTTATATCTAGCCTTTACATCCTCACTTCTCTCTAAATGAACAACTGATCTTTGAGGGACCCCCCAAAAAGCATGCTTTGTTCATAATAAACATAATAAAAAGGAATCACATTTCAGTATATGTCTCCGTTTCATTTCTTTAACACTGTGTATCAGTTTCTTAGAACAATATATGAATTGTTTTCACAACTATAGTTCAAAAGCAGGTTTTCAAGCAGCAGCTATCGCTGTCACAGCTGTTGCTAAGAGGACAGTGATTCAGCTTGCTTTTGACATCTCAACAGCATTCCTGTCCTTGAAAATGCAAAGGAGAATTACAATTGATTTTTTGAGTTGCTGAATATGAGCCTGATTAAGTTTCTGTATATTCTTCACTTTTTTCTGATTCAAAGAGTTGGGTAGAGCTTCTCCTTCCCTCTCTTTCTTGGCATTAGAAATGTGGAACTTGTGTTCTCTATAGATGTTATTACAGTGTATCTCCTGTTATACATGATCATTGCCCTGCTAGCTTTGATGGGAGTTGTGATCCAGAAACACTGGAAAGCTATAGGTCCCCCATCTTTATTGTATGCTTGTTTGTATCAAATGAGAGCTAAACATGTGTTTATATATTGTTTTAAAGATTTCTTCTGCTGCCTGTGGCTATGGGTTTACACTTCTGTCCTCCAAAACAATGGATATTAACAAGATCTGGGGAATGGGGCTGAATAAAGATTCTCAGATTGGATTTCATAGGAGCAAGGGAGATCGATGTAAGTATACAGAACTTTGCTAATGTTTGAAATGTTGCATGCTATCCTTGTTCTTTCACTTTCATGCTTTTAATGGGATTATTACATATTTATTCCATCCTTTAGTCATATTCCCAGGATGCTTGTCAGAAAAAAAATAAAACTCTTAAACAAAATAAAAAAAAACATAGTTGGTGAAATCAGGCTAAAAAGCACTCTGCAGGCTTAACATCATATCTAAAATTCTCAATGGTTAGGAAAATGTCTTTGCATGGTACTGGAAAACCATTGGGCAGTTCTCAGGCAAACCTGTTGCAGGATAATCCTACAAGTGGACCAGATGAACATTTGGCATGATCCAATAAATATTTCTATAGATAATCACTACAAATAGACCTTACATATGCTCAGAAGTATATGACTTGGGACAATGGTTGCCCTAGTATCTTTGCTGGTGGGCTTGTGGAAGCATCTTCCTGGCTGCTATTGCAAACAGGATGCTAGCTGTGATCAGCCCACCTAGAATGGCTCTTACATTTTTAGGTTTTAAAAATGAGCATTGCAAGGCCTGTTTAGGAATACATATTAGTACTAGTGATTGTGTGCGTAACTACAAATAATAATAGTTGTACTATAAATTGCAGAAAGTCTGAATGCTAATAATTGAACATCTTGGAGTAACTTAAATCCATTTATTGTGACTTTTGTTGAGGAGTGTGAATAACTTCTGTAGCAGATTAAAGGTGCCCTCTGTGTACATGCAATGCATTGTTCTTTATTTATTTATTTATTTTTAAGCTAAAGGCTATGAATATGTCTTGGAGCCAAGCCCTGTTCCCTTGCCATTGGCCAAGCCACAGCAGAGCAGAGTTTTGCAAGTGTCCTGCGGGAGAGCGCATTCCTTGGTGCTAACAGATGCAGAAGGAGGTGTGATGATATTCTTATATTTTATGGAAAGAGACTGACACAAAGTTAATACATAAACCTGTCAGGTTTTTAAATTACTGTTTGAAAGCCGATGTAGTGTAGTGGTTAAGTATTGAGCTTTGACCTGGGAGATCCTGGTTCAAATCCATCCTTAGCTGTGGGAACTCACTGGGTGACGTTGGACCAATTGCTCTTTCTCAGGCCAACCTATCTCACGGGGTTGCTGTTGTAGGGCTAAAATGAAGGGAGATCCATAGGAGTCCATTACCAGCCATGATGATGTCAAAATGTCACTCGTGTCATGATACCATCGCAAAAATGACATGAATTGTGCAATTTATGTCAGTAGTGTCATGTCTGATGTCAGTCCATCAATCACTGCGCAGCGATGTCATGTGGTTTGCCTCATCTGTGGATGCCTATAGGGAGATTGCTGCGTCTTACGCTCTTGGAGAAAGGATGGGATATAAATCTAAAAAAAAAAAGTTCTAAATTTGTTGATTCATGCACAACTGGCTGTATTTGCACATCACGGTAAACTATAATCTGTAGTTTAGCAATCACATCATCTGGGTTTGACATGGTGCTGAACCAAAAACAAAAGCTAGATTATGGCTTAGCATTAGGTTTGATTCAATCTTAGCCATTCTTGACTAAGGATTAAGTTGGCTAGTGGTGATTTTGTGTTCTTAGATCTTCCCTGATTATGGACTTTTGTTTTATAGGAGGTCCATTTTCTCAAAGTTTTACTGGTGGCGGGGAAAGGGGAATTGGGAGCTTTTAACCTATTTTACCTACATCTTCCCTACCTCCATCTCCAAAATCAATTCCTCATGTGCTTGTGTGAAAATCCATATTTGTAGTTAAATGCACATAGTTCTGGGAGCATTTAAAAAGAAAAATTAGTTGCACATTCCGTTCCCATATTTGAGGGATGACTGAATGAAGGGAGATCATTTAGACATCTTTCTGAGCTAGGCAGGATATTGGATATTTATCTGATGGTGTCTCATAACTTTTCTTTCAGTCTTTAGCATGGGCAACAATGCTTATGGCCAGTGTGGCCGAAAAGTAATTGAAGGTGAAATATACAGGTGAGAGAACCTCTTTGGTTCCATATAATGGTTCTTGCTGGTAGTGTATATCTAAGCAGGGTTAGTTGTTGTGAGGCCTACTTTGTTTTAACTGGAGCCCTGATTCAAGTTCCACAGTTGGTGTTTTGCTTTCCAGAACATTGACATCAGAAGTTATGAAAAAAAAGCACGATATGCTATCCTTGGCTTTCCCCTCTAATTATTGCTGCATGACATCTCCCACCAGTTCCAACAGGCAGCCACCCATGATGAAGGATGCTGAGAAATGTTGCTTAGCAACGCTTGAGGGCCATAGATTCCCTATTCCTGTTTTAAAGGATGCACAGGGCTCCTCTGAGCATCTAACATGTCCCTGGAATGGAGGAGGAACTGTTCTAGTATTACAACTGATGTAGATAATTTTCTTCCTGCTGGAACTTTGAAGGAAGAAAAAAGAAAAATTCTAGCTTAAGCATTTCCCCCTCTATCTGCTGATGGGAGTGCTCTGTACCTCCTGCTTAATATTCAACTAAGATTCTTTTAATTTCCTAACAGACTGATTCTGTACCATAGTTTCAGATACTAAACAGCTCTTATTCAGTGTTAGAAATGTGCTTTGTAAAATGTTGGAAAATAAATAAAAGCACTTTGAAACATTGTCAGTAACAGGCATTTGCCCTAACTGCATTTTTAAAAGTCCCAGCTGTTCACCTTTTTGATGACTTGTTTCACTTTCTTCTTATGATTTTTTTTTTTCTGGGCAAAATGCAGCGAGAGCCAGATCATTAACAGACTGCAAGGTTTTGAAGATAGAGTGGTCCAAGTAAGTCGTCTCTGAAAACCCGTATTCTGTCTTTGAAGGAAAACGTTCTGTTGTGCTGCATCAGCTTTTGTGTGTATCTTTGAAGAGGAAAATGCCACACCCTTAATTAGACCACTAATAGGCTGGTTTAGCACCCAGACCCTAGTCTAATTTCATGTGGTGTTTGGCCTAATTTCAAACCCCTAAAGCAAGAGATCATTTCAGAACTTGGGTAGACAAAGATTCCAGAAAGAGAGAAAAGGGTCTGGGAATGGGTGTTCCTGCTCACTTTTGGTTGGGCTCCCATCTTCTGCTTGCTTCAGCTCTACCCACCATTACCTGGATTTTCTCATCTTCCCTGGCTTTCTTCAACTCAGCACCCCACAAAGATTTTGGCTGTCCATCACCCATTGCTTCCTTGCTCAGCATAGGAAGGACTCAGGTCAGGAGAAGACTGGCCCACATTGGCTACATTCACACAACAGGCTTAACCAGGTCAGCTAAAGATGTAGTAACTGCATACTTATAACATGCTAAGTTTGATTAGTATTAAACTTGGATTCATTTATTTTGGGGTTTGCTCTGTTATGAGCTCAGGAAATGGGTTAGTTCATAATCAGTTTAAATGTGCAAACACAGCCAGTGAATATTAGCAACTCCACAGCTTTTGTTCTTTATTCTAGTTTGAGAAGTCTGGTTTCATTGATTGATTTTTATTTTTTTTCTTAGCCTTATATGCCATTCCAATCATATGTGGCTGGTTCTTGTAGAAGATCTTTTAAAATTTAATAATTCCACAGTAATTCATATGAACTATATGCCTGAGTTATAATGGAAACACCTGGTTAGAGAAGATTGTTTTAATCCTGGTTTCCTCCTCATACCTTTTTAACTTTGACTCAAGATAGAGCATAAGAGCATTTGGTTGAGCAGCAAGTATAGCATTTACATTCTAAATTTTTGAATAAATCTCTATTTTTTATTTTGCCTATAGGTTGCCTGTGGGCAGGACCATAGCCTCTTCAGGACTGAGAAAGGAGATGTCTATTCTTGTGGTTGGGGAGCTGATGGCCAGACAGGTGAACTTAACTTAACTTAACCATATTTAAAAGTGCAACCAAGAAAAAAAGAACAAGAAAGAAATAGAAAAAGAGATTTACAAGCTATTTAAAATTGAATAGGAATTTTCAAATTAAGTTAACGCTACATATAAAGGGGATTTTATATCAATTTTGCCCTTTAAAACTATTGTTAAAATCAACTCAATCAATACATAGCAAAGGCAGCCAATATGGTAAGAACTGTCAATCAGAATAAATAATAGCAATTTATCCAGTCTGATAAACGATGTCCTTACTATAATAAATCAGGCAAAATCTAATATTTTAAAGCCTTACCCTAAGAGAAACCTGAATTTTGTATCTGGTACAATTTCATGTGCAGAATTAAATTCCATAAATGATTTCCAAACTGAATTAAATTCAGTATCAAACTTGTTTTTTTAAATACAAAGGTTTTTTGACAACAGTGCCTACTTTTGTAGCTTAGTCTGTTATTCTTCTAAAAAAGAATTGTACGTAATTTCAAGTTAGAAGCATAAAGTATTCTAGCAGCTGTCAGTGTACGGTGCCAACTCTGTATACTTTGTAGGAATGTAAGCCTATTAAGAGAAAAACAGCTAGCAAGAAAGTCAACGGGAAAGTTGATATTTATTGTTGTTTCATTCTGTGGTGAATCACCTTCCAGAATTGCTGTGCTTTATGACATTGTCACGAAGTGTGGAAAAAATAATCTAATGCGATTTTATTTATTTATATTTCAAATTTAGTCACTGCCCATCTCACTCAAACAGCGACTCTGGGCGCTTTACAATAAAATAAGAATAAATACTGAATAAAATACAATAAATCAGTGCTCATAAATAATGTCTTCCAAGACACTGATGGTAATGATTGTTGCATTTCTAGCAGTTTTTTTGAACCAGCTCTTGATCATAGAAATGGAGACTGATTTTGCTTCCAAAGTAGAAGTGTGTAACTATTTTGTACCTCTTAAGCAAGTTACTTTGGAAGACTGAAGGGTGCTGTGTAAAGTGAATGAAAGGCCTAGGAATGGCTACACCAATTCATTAGAAATATATGCATACTTGAATAATATTTGCATTAGATAAGTATATATAGAATTGTAATTGTTTACTGTTATAATGACATATTAACATGTTTCCTTTGTTGTATTTCTTTCACTTTTTTGTTACAGCACTTTCTATGTGTTTTTTTTCTTGTAAGTAAGTAAGTAAGTAAGTAAGT